TGCTAACACGAACCCTAGCAAGAGTCGTGCTTCGCAGAATCTACCACCGGATCGGAAACGCGACCCACTGAGAAGATCCGGCGAGAAACTCAGTGGGCTGTGTCTGAGAGTTAATTTACTCGTCGAGCCCTTCGTCGCAAGCGACGGGTTCGACGAGAACGGTGACCGGTGCTTGAAGTACCTAGAAGCACCGTTAGTGGATCGGGAGGATCCGAGATGACGTGTTTTGGGCGACGTCGACTGCTTTCGTCGAATGTCGATTTTCAAAGGTGAAATATCAATTCACTGAATCGATTTAGAACTACATATCGATTTTTTGGCTCGAGAAATCGATTCTTAGATTAGCCGATCTCAAATCGCCATCCCTATTGCAAACATAACATTTCTTTCGCCGTCGGCTGGTTGCTATTGTCGGTATTTGAACTAAAAACTTTTTGATAAATCACAAAAGCGAACTAAAACTTAAAATGTCTCCGGATATTAATCAGATCGGTACGCAAAAAGTGAGAAACGTTTCCAGTGGCGAAGTAAGTAATTATATTAAACTCTTTAGTTATAATATCGATGTTCTACTAGAGTTTTCAGAACTTTCCAGTTTGATATTTGTATGGAATTTTCCACTGATCAAATTCTAGACTGCAGAACGAAAGTATTTAATGTCAAAAGGCTATCGCCCAGTCCTTATAAATTCTTTCAAAGAGAATACAAACATGTCTTGATATTTATTCTACAATAATTTTTAATTTCTAAAACTCGAGTTGCGTTGCTTTCATTCATTAATGAGTTTAAAAATAAATAACCTGTCATATTATTGTGCAATATTCAAATTGTTTAACATTAGCTTGTAGCTATAGGAAAATTGGCAAAAATACAATATTTTTAGTTAGTGTAATAAATCAGATTTATGTTTACCAAGATTACTGTTCACGAAAGGGTCATGTTTTCCATTTTCTAGACAGGTATTCGTCACTTAGCTCTTATTTGTATATGTATGTAAGGCAGTGGAGGCAAACCTTGCTACATTGCATGTGCATATTGTTTTAACACCAACGGAATCCTCAATGCCCTTTCACTACCTTGTATACTTCCTTTTTCTTTAAGGACGTACACTTATACATTTTAATGAATTATTTACAGGTTTTAGAATTGAAGAGCTTCTGGGAGCAACAGAATGTGGCTATTGTATTCTTTCGTCGCTGGGGTTGCATGTTTTGTAGGCTTTGGGCTAAAGAGGTTTGTTATTTTATTTATTATTGTTGCAACTTTAATTTATAATTTATATTAGCTAGAATTTATGCATTTAAGGATGACTAATTTAACAATGTGTTGTTACTCTAAGTAGTTTGTCTTGTCAGTTCAGGCATTTGATAAAATGGGATTTGGTCCTATCACCAAATCCTTTGTCTCATAGATGGAAGGTAAATTAGTTCACTTTTTGAAAGCAGATTTAGAATGGGCCAATACTATTTGAAGGGTGGGGCAGCCGTTGTAACTATAAGGAGACCTTAGAACTTATATCTCAAAGTAGGTGGGGCATTTACATTGTAGATGTCTATGGGCTCCAGTAACCACTTAAAAACAGGTGGGCTGTGAGCTCATCCACCCATCTAAGCAATAAAAAACAAATAAAAACAAGTTTTGTGCTCTTGTTTATCAGACCACAAGTGAACACCATTCATCTTAGCAAACAAAATTGATCTCACTAATTACACTGGTATAGTGTATATTTGACCCTACTAACTGAAATGCGGATATAGGCAGGATCAAACTTATATAGAATACTAGAATGGTGCTTCTCTTGATAATTACTTATTATTATATTGCTACATTATGTCAATTGTGTAATCTGTACAATTTATTTATTTTTTGATTGCGCTTTTATGTAGACGAGCATACGGCCCACCTGATGGTGAGTGGTTACCGTCGCCCATGGACTTCAGCAATGCCAGGGGCAGAGCAAAGCCGCTGCCTACTGCTTAAAATATGAATGTAAATAGTTTTAATACATTTTGGCTATCAAAGTTTGTTGACACGAGGATAAATATTCCGTGTGATGCTAACATCTATATATTTATCTAATCTCTATGTATGATAAGGTGTTATCCTAGTTTATAAAAAATGTTCCATTTCTATTACCAAGTTGATATTAAAAATAAAACTTTCTAGAAATTTTGGTTAGTCTAGTACAATATGCGGCTCCATTTGTTGCTATGTATACGGATGCTACTGAATTAGTAGTTTATTAGTAGTAGATTAGTATAATAGTGCTTTGTCTGTAGACAATATGATAATACTGGTGGTAGGACCTCTTGTGAGTCCGCGCGGGTGGGTACCACCACCCTGCTTATTTCTGCCGTGAAGCAGTAATGCGTTTCGGTTTGAAGGATGGGGCCGCCGTTGTAACTATACTTGAGACCTTAGAACTTGTATCTCAAGGTGGATGGCGCATTTACGTTGTGGATGTCTATGGGCTCCAGTAACCACTTAACACTAGGAGGGCTGTGAGCTCATTCACCCAACTAAGCAATAAAAAAAAAATGTTTTTTTTGCTCTGTTCGTGGACACATCTTTTGTTGTCATTATAATCTGCTTAAAATCACTTAAAGCATTAGTCTAGGAGAAATTAAGAGTCAGGGACATGATGAAAAAGCATCTACTAATGATACTATAAAACCACATTTGTTGTACACATACTGAAGGAAGTCTGAAAGTGGCACCTGTGACAGAGAAGCTGAGGAGTGTGCGTTTGGGATGGTATGGACATGTGATGAGACGAAATGAAAATGAGGTTGTTAAGAGAGTGTTAACTATGAATGTGGAAGGATATAGAGGAAGAGGTAGACCTAAGAAGAAATGGATGGATTGTATGAAAGACGATATGGGTGAGAGGGGAGTGAGTGAAGAAATGGTATATGATAGAAGAGTATGGAAGGAGAAAATATGTTGCGCCGACCCAAGATGACTGGGAGAAGGGCAGGATAATGATGATTGTTGTACACATACTAAAGTGTGAAAATGTGGTGTCAAAATTGTTTTACGATTACAAGTAGGCTACCAGAACAGTTTAAAATATCCGAAATGGGTTTAGTTTAAAGTAAATATTAAATACAAGTATTTTTGTTTTCGTTTTGTTGTTTTCCCGGTGCAGTCATTCTGTTGTTAAGGAAAATGCTCTTAAACCAAAATTTCCTCAATATACATTTTTATGTAATTAGTCAGAATAAATTTTGTACAAATGACTTTTAGATGACAAATAAGGAAAACTTGCGCCGCTGGTTCACCTGCGTTAAATTTTATTGATCGCAGAGAATGATGCATGTATGCATTTTCTCATTGAGTTGTTCAGGTTGATTTGATGAACTAATAGTCCTATAGCAATAGTTACCATGGCGACTGTTGCTTGCATTTATTCTGTCTTATGTACATTTAAGTGAAAAAAAAACGAATATACAAACAAACAAACACTGTCACGTAATATTAAATACGGGTATTAGTATGGATAATACCATAATATAAACCGAATATCTATATATATATAAAAGTGAGTTGCTGTTCGTTAGTCTCGCTAAAACTCGCGAACGGCTGGACCGATTTGGCTAATTTTGGTCTTTAATTTTTAGTGGAAGTCTAGAGAAGGTTTAAAAAGTTGATAAATATGAAAATCCTTGGAATAAAATAAAAATAACAATTTTGTTTTTCCTATGATGTGTCCCCCGTCGGACGGATTCCTTTTGTTTGTTTTAAGTTTATTTTATACAAAAGTTTAGGCCTTTTATTTGTCGATTGAGGGCATTTGAGGCACTACGAAGTCTGCCGGGTCAGCTAGTACTTTTATAAAAATAATTAGATTCAGTAAAAATTTATTGAGCCTACTATATAAATTGAAAGATTACTTTTTTTTTGCACAGTTTATTTATTTTGGTTTTTCAGTTGAGCGAAATAGCGCCTATTCTCAAGCAGCACAACATCAAACTTGTCGGGGTTGGCGTCGAAGAGGCCGGATCCAAGGAGTTCAGCGAAGGAAAGTTTTTCGATGGAGGTAATTTCAAACCGGCAGTTTTATTTTTTTTGTTTTTATTGCTTAGATCTGTGGACGAGCTCACAGCCCACCTGGTGTTAAGTGGTTACTGGAGCCCATGGACATCTACAACGTAAATGCCGACACCCACCTTGAGATATGAGTTCTAAGGTCTCAGTATAGTTACAACGGCTGCCCCGCCCTTCAAACCGAAACGCATTACTGCTTCACGGCAGAAATAGGCCGGGTGGTGGTACCTACCCGTGCGGACTCACAAGAGGTCCTACCTTTTATTTGAAAAAATAAAACAACGTCAATTATCATTGAAATGTTTGTCAAAGATCCGAGCTGAGCCGGAACGGGCCGCTAGTATTATATCTATATATTAATACGTGAAGCAAAAACTTTGTACCCCTTTTTACGAAAATTGCACGGACGGAGGAGTATGAAATTTCTCACACTTATAGAGAATATAGAGAAGGAGTGCACAAGGCTAATATTTTTTTTAAATAATGCATAAAAGATACTTTAAATCAATAAAGAAAACATTACCCACACTGCCATGTATTTGACACAACACATACAAAACATACTCTTTGTTTACTGTCAATTGGGAAACTTTTGTTATTGTTTAAACTCTGTGGTCGAATTGAAAATAGATTAATATTGTTTGTCTTTAATATTATTGATCTATAGTGCCGTTTTGGCGAATACTGTGATTATATTATCGAAATATAATAGTGTTTGACAATGCCATAATAATGTTTAAACTTATAATTTCAATTAATTATAGTCGAATCTCGACTACTGCGGGGCCACTAGTATATATATAATCTTGTACATATGTTTTCCAGATCTGTACTACGTCGAGAACATTTCAACTTATCAACAGTTGGGTTTTAAAAGGTTCAATGTTTTAACTATTTTAACTTCGCTGCTATGGAAGCAATCGCGTGACGCCATTTCGAAAGGAAAAGCCATGGGTGAGTTTTGTTTAATTATACAGGGTGTATCGGAATAGCTAGAATGCGCTGCCTGTATATAGGAGCAATGTATAACATACATATTTTTTGTTACTTGCTAGAGTTCAGGATTAATAAAACTGACCGAAGTAAAAATTAAAACTATTACATACTCTTCTACTTAATTGAAGTCGTCGTGGCCTAAAGGATAAGACGTCCGGTGCATTCGTGTTGAGCGATGCACCGGTGTTCGAATCCCGCAGGCGGGTACCAATTTTTCTAATGTAATACGTACTCAACAAATGTTCACGATTGACTTCCACGGTGAAAGAATAACATAGTGTAATAAAAATGAAACCCGCAAAGTTATGATTTGAGTAATTACTGGTGGTAGGACCTCTTGTGAGTCCGCACGGGTAGGTACCACCGCCCCGCCTATTTCTGCCGTGAAGCAGTAATGCGTTTCGGATTGAAGGGCGGGGCAGCCGTTGTACCTATACTGAGACCTTAGAACTTATAATATATCTGAAGGTGGGTGGCGCATTTACTTTGTAGATGACTATGGGCCCCAGTAACCATTTTTCATATAAAAAGTTTTCATTAAAATTAAAATAAGACTTAAACTAAAGGTCTTAGTTGACTTGACCTAAAGGTCTTAGTTGACTTGACCTAAAGGTCTTAGTTGACTTGACCTAAAGGTCTTAGTTGACTTGACCTAAAGTTCTTAGTTACCAGGTCGTCAAATCCCATAAAAAAAATAACTTGCAAAATTCAATAACAGGTCTAAAGTCTGATTTAATCGGCGACGGTTTACAAAATGGCGGCTGCTTATTAATAAGAGAAGGCGGGAAAATGTTGTATCACTTCGTTCAAGTAGGACCTGCGGACAGATGTGAGAATGTGGAAATTTCGGAGGTTACATTTTCGTGTTTTATTGATTTTAATTAGGCTTAAGTGGCGACATGAAGGGAGATTGGGTTCAAGTGGGTGGCGCCGCTCTGGTAGAAAAGGGCGGGAACTTGCTCCGCCATTTTGTGCAAACCGGACCGGCGGATCATCTGTCTAATTTGGAGATTTTGAAGGTATTTTGAAACTTTTGTTAACTTTTTTTTTAATTTAGTAAGTGTACATACAAAAGTCATGACTTACGGTTCAGAGACGTGGTGCTTCACAAAAGATCTTTTTAGGATGCTTAGTGTCGTGCAGCGAGTTATGGAGAGGGCTATGCTTGGTATATCTCTAGGAGACCGTTTTACTGGTGGTAGGACCACTTGCGAGTCCGCGCGGGTAGGTACCACCACCCCGCCTATTTCTGCCGTGAAGCAGTAATGCGTTTGGGTTTGAAGGTTGGGGCGTTGTAACTATACTTGAGACCTTAGAGCTTATATCTCAAGGTGGGTGGCGCATTTACGTTGTAGATGTCTATGGGCTCCTAACACCAGGTGGGCTGTGAGCTCGTCCACTCATCTAAGCAATAAAAAAAAGACCGAATCAGAAATGAGGAGATCCGTTGAAGAACCAAAGTTGTTGATATAGCCCGTAGGGTCAGCAAGCTAAAGTGGGTAGGCATAGTGCGAAGTTCGGACGGCCAATCGGGCAGAACGATCCTCGGGACGCCTTCAGCTCTAACACTACGAGCAGCTTAATAAAAATATAAATTAAAATAAGACTTGACCTAAAGGTCTTAGTTATCAGGTCATAAAATCACTTTAAATAAAAGTTTAGTTTGTTGTCGTATTATTCTAATAAGTATTTTGTTTTTACAGCAATTCGGTTTGGAAAATGAGTACAAAAAAGATGCGGAGAACGAAAAGAATTCGAAGAAAAACGAAGACACCGTACGTATCTATAACATTATTAGTCCTCCGTAATTCATGTGAAATACTTTATTTGTTTATTAGCCGTGTCTAACTATAATAAGATCTGTATTTATCGTAAGTTAGATGTATTTAGACTTTAGAGACTTTTTGGCGGGAACGCGAGCTATACTTGAGACCTTAGAACTTGTATCTCAAGGTGGGTGGCGCATTTACGTTGTGGATGTCTATGGGCTCCAGTAACCACTTAACACCAGGTGGGCTGTGAGCTCGTCCACCCATCTAAGCAATAAAAAAAAAGAGGAGCTGTGTGATTTGTTTTGTTTTGTCTATTTAGTGTTTCTTTAGGGTTAAATGTGTAATAACTATGGTGGTTTATTAACTGTTTAATATCTGTGAAAGTGCACAAATGTGGGAAAATGAAACAAAGCTTCTGGACGTAACTTCTCGGGATCCTCCAAAAAGTCCACTGAAAAAATCTCTGTATATAACTACCATTTAACTGAGATTAGATTTCATCCCATATCATCTCATCTCATTTCATTTCATTTATTTTCATCCCAGTTGATCTCAAATTATTCATCTTCATGTCATTTCATTTCACTCCATATTATCATTATTCAAAAATAAGAATATAAATTAAAATAAGATATGACTTAAAAGTCTTAGTTACCAGGTCATAAAATTCCTTAAAAAAAAATATGTACTTAGAAGTAGTAACTAGATGTAGTTAGAAACAGTAATGTATATAGGTACAAATTTCTCGATTTTCAGACAGAGACAGAGAAAGAGTAATGTATGGTGTGCTGCGAATAACTCTTGCCTAGCGCCGATACACACGATATGGACAGAGCGAAGATGCAGAACTTGGGTATAATAATAGAGTCGCCACTATTTTTTAATTACGAAAAATGAAAAAAAAATATTGTCCGACACTGACAATATCCATGACAAAAAAAAAGAAAAATCTCTTTTATAAAAACCTTTAGGCCGGATTCGAGAACAATTTTTTTTTTAAATCTGGAATTTGTTAAAAATGTGTTATGTCGCAAAGAGCCAATTTCGTTATTACTGATTTATTCTTTCATAATATTGAATTAAACTTGTGCTCTCTCATTTTTTGTTATCTACGGTAATAAACTTATCACGCTGAACGCCATATTATAAAAAAAATTGTATTTTTATTTAGGTCACGGTGCGCACCGATGAACCTTACTGAACCGTTCAGACCGTGAGGGCGCCACCCGTGAACTTTTTAAAATATCTAAACTAGATGGTGGAAGTCGCTAATTTTTATTTTCAGTGCAAATTACCACAATTTATGAATATTAGAATGAAATTTTCAAGTTGAGAAAAATTACTGATTCCCTGATTATGGCTTGACCCGAAAATGCCACCGGTGGGTCGCAAAGCATGCAACGTGTTAAAAGACGAAAAGCTAAAAACGAATAACAGAAATGGACGTAATAACTTCAGTGCGCCGCGTAGGGCACCGGTGACCTACAACGCATTTAAAAGCTTAAAAAACCCAAAGCTCTTTACTTCTCATAGATTCTGTTGATTTATTTTAAATAATTAATATTTAGTGGTGTCACATTTCGTATATAATCATCACCTGTATTTCTTCCATAATCACGATTTGATAAAACGGTGTGCTTGGATATAAATATTATATTTTTATAATAATTCCTTTCAATGCGTGTCCAGTTTTCTTGTGTCGATCTTTTAATCCACGATAAGTTTTTAATAGACAAAACGACGCGTGGTCTTAAACAATATTGCTTATAAACGCTTAACAACAAAAGCGTTTTTCGTTCTAAATAAAGAAAAGAATATTACAAACTTTTTTGAAATGATAAATTTTACATTTTTGTTGATTCCAGTATATGGATGACATAATTAAAAAAAAAAAAATCTGCTTTCATCAACGGTCCATAGATGGCGCTGTAATAAAATTTAATCTTTTTTTTAAATACATGATCATTTCAATTCTTCGTTCTTCCAAACCTGCAAGACTGTCCAAAAATTGAATGTAACATTTTCAGGGTTCGTGTTCGTATTAGAGTAGACTTTATGTAATTGAACTTTAAGCTTAAAATCCTTTAACAGATCAGGATTTCTTACATCGTTAGAATCCTTCCATTATCTCGAATAACACTGGCTGTAATTTCGTTTGACAGAGCTGCCGTGTTTTTTTTTTAATTGTTATTTCTATTATATTAAGTTGGCTGTTTCAAAAGAGGCTTTCGCTTAAATAAATTTATAAGAATTTGCATTTATTTTGAGAAAAACAATTAAGTGATAAACTTTAGACTGATTAAAAAAAGACTAATCGTTTTTATTGATTTCATGTAATGGGCATTGATAAAAAAAATTGCGAATTTAATAAAAAAAAATTGAAAATTATAGATCAATGTAAGAAATATTTAAATATATAAAAAAAAAACATCAATGTCCATTAAACATACAACTGAAGTTTTGTTTGAATGTAAAATGTTGGAGGATGGTGGAATATTGATTAGTTGTTACAAGTTTACAGCGGTAAGATTGGTACATTCATTTGCCATATATTCATTTGATACTATTTTATGAATTTATGTATTTAACCAAGCTCTGATATATGATAATTTGCAAAGCAAAATTATGGTTTGAATTGGATCAAAAATACATCATTTTTCACAATTAATAAATACCACTGAATGTTTAAAAAATTACGAGGGACCAAACGAATATGTCCACCTTTAAAATTAGTGATCACTAAAAAAAATACTTCCTATTTAAGTGAAGATTTAACTTTCTTGCGTTAGTTAAAACAGAAATTATTAATTTGAAACTCCAGTTGCATCTCAAAATATCACAAATAGGGTCTTCCATTAAAATTCAATTAATTTTGTTAAATGTCTAAAAAAATATAGTAATAATTTCAAAGATTAAGCTACCTATTGATATGTACAAGAAAAATTAACATAATATAATAATGAGTTGTTGATTTATTAAAATTTGATCTTGTGTGCTAATAAAAGTGAAAGGCTGAGAAGCAACGTTATTAAATAAAATGCATATAATAATTACATAATGTATGTACCTTCCTAGGAATGTTTTCCTTGATATATGAAGTGTTTTGCATGTTTTGTTTTATATTATGTATATGCTGTATTGTAATAAAGGTATGTTTGTTGGAAATTTCTTGTTTTTATTTCTACAAATATTAATTGTGTATGTCATATCTGAATTAACCATAATATGTTAACTCAATGCGCTAGATACATGTACCCAGGGACGTCTTAAACTAGGATGGGGCCCTTGGGCACACTAGAATTTGAAGCCCTTTTGGATAGTAAATAAAAGCGAACTATAATAATATTTTTTTACTGAGTATGAGACCATTTATTATAGGTAATCAAATACAGTATGATATAATATGTCATTAATTATATTAGAATGCTGCTGGTTTTTTGGTTACGCTTTCGATAACGGTTTCTTTCGGGATTTCTGTTGAGCAAAATCTTCTGTTACAGTCATAGTATATGCCTTGTAAATACCCTCTGATTACTGATTTGTGAAAAAAGTGTAATGTGCCCGACAAAAATGTTTTGAGAATAAACGTGTGAGAGAAATTGTTGGTCTTTCGGGGCCCCTTGAGAATGGGGGCCCTGGGCACGGGCCCCGTGTGCCCTTATGGTATTGCATGTACCTCAACTCCAGAGATGATTCTCCCTTGCCACTTTGTTTGGTGTGTAAATTGGATGCGCTGTTTAAACTATTTAAGTTACTTTATTTGATAACAAGCGGCCCGCTCCGTCTCCGCTCAGGTCTTTAAAAAAAATTCAACAATATTTGACGTTTTATTTTTTTGAAATAAAATAACTATAATAGTTATTGTAGTTTGCTGTCGCGACACTTTTTGTAAATAATAATGTGTTCTACAAAGTCGTAGTACATTATTTTATTCTATCATCAATAGTTTTCGCAGGGCACGCGATGTAAAGAATNGCGCAAGCTAAAGGATATGTTGCAAGAAATAACAAAACCTTCAAAATGACAGAAGTAAAAAAACTTTTTGAAGAAGGACTTCAACATATCACACCTGAAAAATGGAGTAGCTGCGTGTCTCATATAATTAAAGAAGAAGACAAAATGTATGGTCTCGACCACATGATCGACAATGTTTCAGACAGATTTATAATTAATGTCACCGAAAGCGATAGTGATGATTTTTTATCTGATGATGAATAAAAACAAATTATGTAATAAGCGATGTTTTTTATTTTCATTACCTACCTATAATTATTATATTTTACAACATCATACATCTATAGTTTCAAGTACATGATGTATTGAAAATAGGACAGTCTTACAAGTTTCCTCGCAATGTTTTGCTTAATGTTTAAAACACTCGGTATTCAGTATAGGTCGATACTATAGGAACATAGTCATCGAAAACTAGTTGGTATGTACAAAGCTGTACCCGATATCGGCAGTTTGGCACACTAACTATTCACTAGACAATGGAGGCAATTTCATTCATTAAGGAGTTTTTTCAATTATTCACTTGGTCACAACACTATCTTTATTTCATCAAAAACTGACAACACAGTAAACGTCAGTTTACTTCGTCTAATTAAAAATCCGACTATAGTTACAACGGCTGCTCCGCCCTTCAAACCGAAACGCATTACTGCTTCACGGCAGAAATAGGCGGGGTGGTGGTACCTACCCGTGCGGACTCACAAGAGGTCCTACCACCAGTAAAAACACTGAAAAATCGATGGTAGTTCTCATGATTAATGGGTAATAAAAAAATCGCAGTACCTACCCAATCAGTAGTCCAACTGTAACGACTATTTTGTGTAATTAAACAAAATACTAGTTAATTAAAAAACGGCTTGTTATGTAGTATTATCGTATGTTATTATTTTTGCTGTGTGACCCTGATAATGAGATTTACCAATCAAAGCGGTCATATTGATAACGCGAGAAAATTCTATGTTGAATTATTACAGATACATTTTATATTAGAACGCGGTCATAGACGTGTTTTGTGTTTACATTTTTTAATGAATTTACATTAATTTATTTGGGAGTAAAACAAGGAAGACATTATTTTTAATTATTTAAGTATAGAGTTTGTTTTTCTTTTGTATGTGTTAGTGGCAGTGATTTTGATAACAACCGTGTTAATGTTAAAAGTTTTTGTTAGTTTTTTAATAAGGAACTGGAAATTTAAGGTAATTAGGAATTCAGTCTCAATTTAGATAGCTTGTTAGTCGTAGTTTTCTTTGTTGCTTAGAAGGCTGTACGAGCTCACGGCTCAGTTGATGTTAAGCGGTTATCGAAGTCCGTGGACATGACAATGTAAGTGACATAATCCAACTTGAGACACAAACTGAAAGTTTCAATTATTTACGCAATTTTTTATTTATTGCTTAGATGGGTGGAATGAGCTCACAGCCAACCTGGTGTTAAGAAGTTACTGGAGCCAATAGACATCTACAACATAAATGCGCCACCCACCTTGAGATATAAGTTCTAAGGTCTCACTAATCTAACTCTAAACTAACTCTGACTAATGTTCTAATGGTCGAAATCTGAATTATATCATTTATATCTAAGAGAAGGGAAGAAACTGGAGAAGGCCTTTACCTGTGAATGGGGTCCGTATCCAAAAAAGACACAGATAACCAACATTGCTTATCAATGATACAGCCCGGTCTCCGAAGACCCATCTAGCACTCTTCGCCGATGACACCACTATCTACTACTCGTGTAGGAAGAAGTCGCTATTGCATCGGCGACACCAGACCGCAGCCATCACGATGGGACAGTGGTTTCGGAAGTCCTCAATTTTTTAACCGATTTTTAACGAAGGAAGTTCTACTATATGTATTTTTTTATTATACGTTCCCCGTTTTCTTTGGATTGGTTTCTTGGTTTTAAGTGGATCAATTTTGAAAATTATTTTTTTGTTATTCGAAGTAGGTCTGTTTTTGCCCCTACCTAATCGCTGGTATGGGGTTATTATAGCTACGCTCGGACTGGAAAGCGTCTCCACTGCAATTCATCTCAAATTTTAAGTTTGATTGGCGTGTTTTGTTCTTGAATACCGCTTTTTCATCAACGAATTTATAATATCAAAAATTGTGTTGTGGAATCGAAAATAGACGAGAACTGATTTCAATTGAATGAAGTTTTATTTATTTATTTACACTTTATTTCAGTTTTTTTTTATAAACCATAACATTTTGTTTATAAGAATTACTTATAATCTATGTTAGTAACTTAAAAAATCTAACACATAACTATCATTACGTACATTTCATATCATTACATTTGTTTCTTTTTCCTTCCAAGCGCCTGCTGCAAAGGCAGTCCCTTTTGAGCGTCGAAATTGAAGGTTGGTTTGGTAATCTAGCTAAAATATGTTTGCAGGTAAAATGAAAATAGTTCCATTGGTACTCGCTCTCTTATCGCTGGTGTGCGGAAGGAAGGTTTGCGACACGTGTCTCGAAGGTTTCTGCTACGGAAGGGAAGTGATCTTGGAGAATCATCGATTATCCGGACAATTAGCAATCGATACTGTGGATAACGTACTCTATTTTCATTACAAAGATTCGTATTCTATCGATCACACAGTTGCCTACGACTTGGACGATGTCCGATTAAAATCGATACCCGGAATCGATTTTTCTTTCGCACGTGCAGTCGATTTAAATAGAAATGTTTACATCGGTGGCACACAAGGCATATTTAAATACGATCCACGTAAGAATTTGACTACCGAATATGGGTTATTTGATAAAACCATATGGCATATGCAGTTTAGAAACATGATTTATTACACCGTTTTTATGATGAACGGTTTGTATACATATCAAGACAAAAAGTCTGTGAGCATCACTAACCTAACAAAGTACAAAATCGATGATTTCATAATCGATAATCGTAACGATATATTTTTTGTTAGCGAATCGAAACTTTATCGATATGAAGGTAAATCGAAAGAGATAAATGTTGTATCGAATAACATGTACTCCTTGTTAGTAGATAAATATAATAATGGATATTTCATAGATATTTTAAATCGTGGTTTATACAGATTTAGCCATAGAATCAATAGGCTTTTTGAGGTTGGCGCTTTTGACAGCGGCGCGCCATTCAAAGCTGTTTTTGATTCGAACAACAATATAATATATTATGACAAAGGTAATGAGATACTGTATTATTTAAGACCCAACTACGGGCGATGCAAAATAAGTAGAGGTAAGAGGAGAAAATATAAACCTATGGTTCCAATTCCTCGTAACAGTACTAGCTTCCTACAAATTAAAACGATTGACTGAACCAAAATAACCTCCGAAAACTAATGCGATTATTCAATTTTAGTTTTGATAAGTCAATTTTAGTTTGGTATTAAAAATAATTTACCTATACTATATTTCAAAGCTTTTATTTATTTACTTTGGTTTCCGCATGGTGTAGATATACCTAGCTAAAATTACTTTACGTTTTCGCTCGTGGCGACGAAAATAAAAATGATATTATTATATACCGCTAAAGTATATTAGTTTTAATTCGGTTTTGTTAAATTTTTTTATTGGTCGAAGTAATTCGCGTCTATAGTGTGTGTAGTACATTGTATGTACTTAGGTATGATGCGTCTGAGGTGGTATTAATGTCATAGAATTCATAGAAATTTACGAATCAATTCCAGCCTAACCTTCCACTATTAGTCTGTTTGATTTTTACGGAATTTGTCGTGGCATGTTTGACTGTGACGTCGCCTTTTTTTAATTCTGTAAGTAATATACGCCTTTGATTCGAGAACAAGGTGCTTATAATTTCAACTATTTTTAATTATATAAAAATATATATGTTTAAATATATTGTTACGCACTGGGGCTCTGGATACATAAAAAACATTCACCGGAGTATTATCCCGAGTCCTAATGCGTGAACAAAATTTATTTTCGATTAGATGTCACGTGACTTATTAAATGTCAAAGTACCACAGATTCTCAACAAAAAAAAAGCGTCAGTCTGTGAAAAATGACGAACCAAACTCAGCGGACTTGTTTGTGTTACGAAATTGTGTGTTTCAACAAATATGCTTTTCATTCAGCGCCACTCGTGGCGATGCCGGTTTTCACAAGTTAATAAATATATTGGATTAGTACATATTTTTGTCTTTTATTTCGATTGTGTATTGTAGGAATTTCAGAATGCGTCCTAATGATTTAATTAGGTTTTATATGTTAGCCGGGCCTGCTGCTAATAACGAAAACGCAATAATAATTACGGCTCTCCCATCCTTCAAATGGCAACACAGATCTGTTTTTTTAGGGGATTTTATGACCTGGTAACTAAGACCTTTAAGTGATGTCTTATTTTAATTTATATTCTTACTTTTATGAAAAATGATAAAATGGGGTGAAATGAAATGAAGATGATTAATTTGAGACATTAATCAACTAGGGTGAAATGAAATGAAATGAAATGAGATGAGATGATATGGGATGAAATATAACCTCAGTCAAATGGTGGTTATTTACTGTAATTTTTTCAGTTGACTTTTTGGAAGATCCCGAAAAGTTATTTTAAGCGGCTTTGTTTCATTTTCCCACATTTGTGCACTTTCACAGATACTAAACAGTTAATTAATAAACCACCGCTATTACACATTTAAACCTGAAGAAACACTAAATCGCCAAAATTAAACAAATCACACAACTTCACTTTTTGCGTTGCCGCCAAAAAGTCCCACAGATCTGTTCAGAAGTAAATACGAATCTACCCGCGCCGACTCGCAATACGTTTTACCATTAATTCTGATTATTATTATACGATTTTATTCCTTCATCGTCACTCGTTCGTGATAGCTACACAGCTACACACGTATTCTCCAAGGTCATTGGCCTTATTATCGTTTTATCTATAACTTCCTACACAGATACACAGACCGACAATAAAAGCTGTTGTCGCCAACGCGTTATTATTTACTGAATGTATTTTAAATTCATCTTGATTATGAGTCTGATGCGTCCCACATGATTCGTTTGATGTTGTACCGGTAATCCCAGTCACTATAAGATCGATTTCCGTGTCTCCCACTCTGAAACCATCAGCTTTCCTATTTCTACCGAGAATTAGTAACTCCGCTTTGAATAGTGGGATTAGCGTGAGCGGAAATAGTTCTAGAGGTCTTTAAGGACTGTGCTTTTTTGTTAGAAGGATTACCGGGGGCGCGATGGTTTCTGCAGTTTGGTTAAGATAGGGGGGGGGCAGCTTATTCGCGAATCCTCTGGTAACTTAACCCAAAATGGGTTGCGAGCTCACCCACTCACATAGATCGATACTAATGTAGAATAGCGATTGTAGTGCATAAAATCTGTCATTCTTTTTTTCCTTTCTTTCCGTTTTCTCTCACTCACATCTTAGCGCTTCGTTCCACACCCTTTTCATACGTTCCGTTTGTACCAATCCTACACTAATTAAAACAATTTTGCACTGTATACTTATAAAAGAAAAAGCACTGTAGTCAGCAGAGTGCTTTGTATTCCAAAAGAAAAATGGCGCGCGACGCAGCGCGGCGGTGTGACCTTGACTTGTTGATGTTGGTAGACACAGTGCGAATATTATTCAGTTAAACAACAAATATGAAGGAGCGTAATGGTCAGGATTTTTTTTTATTACTTAGTTGGTTGGACGAGCTCACAGCCCACCTGGTGTTAAGTGGTTACTGGAGCCCATAGACATCTACAACGTAAATGCGCCACCCACCTTGAGATATAAGTTCTAAGGTCTCAAGTATAGTTATATATAGTTAGGATCTAAATCGGCTGGGCAGCGTTCGGTAAATTAAAAAATGTGTTCTCGTCCAAAATCCCTCAGTGCCTTAAGACAAAGGTATACAACCAATGTGTGCTACCAGTGATGACTTAAGGTTCCGAGACGTGGTGCTTCACAAGGGATCTTTTTAGGAAGCTCAGTGTCGCGCAGCGAGCTATGGAGAGGGCTAGGCTTGGTACGGGACCGAATCAGAAATGAGGAGATCCGTAGAAGAACCAAAGTTACTGACATAGCCCGTAGGATTAGCACACTGAAGTGACAGTGGGCAGGCCACATAGCGCGAAGATCGGACGGCCGATGGGGCGGAAAGATCCTCGAGTGGAGACCACGTACTGGCAAGCGCAGTGTGGGACGGCCACCTACGAGATGGACTGACGACCTGGTAAGAACCGCTGGGTCACGTTGGATGCAGGTGGCAACGGACCGGTCGCACTGGAGATCACTTGGAGAGGCCTATGTTCAGCAGTGGACAATGGACAGGCTGAGATTATGATGATGAAGTATAGTTATAACGGCTGCCCTACCCTTCAAACCGCATTACTGCTTCACGGCAGAAATAGGCAGGGTGGTGGTACCTACCCGCGCGGACTCACAAGAGGTCCTACCACCAGTGATTACGCAAATTATAATTTTACGGGTTTGATTTTTATTACACGATGTCATTCCTTCACCGTGGAAGTCAATCGTGAACATTTGTTGAGTACGTATTTCATTAGAAAAATTGGTACACGCCTGCGGGATTCGAACACCGGTGCATCGCTTTAACACGAATGCACCGGACGTCTTATTATTTAGGCCACGACGACTTCAATTGTATTTTCGTTGTACTTTCGTCACTCATGTACTATTATTATAGCAATGTCAGAGTGTTATATCGGAACTTAGGAGCAATGAAACGACCGTACGTAATTAGAGCTGATTTATTACTGTCGTGAGTGGAGAGGCGGCGCTGGGCCGCGGTATACGTAAGTACATAACAAACACTGCACTCCTCCCTCAGTATTTCGAAATTCTGACAAACAACTAATTAGTTTACAGTTTAACATAAAAATACTTCCTATAGTCAACAATCTTTCTTGGCCTCTTTGTTCGACTACGCTATCATCATCGTCTGCCGCCCGCGAAATGCATTGTACTTACGGAAACATTTGTGTACTACGCTAACGAAATTGCGCGTATCGGAATTTTTAACGCGCGTTCATTACCAAATGTTTAGTAAACATTACGAATTGTACGTGAAGGCACTATGTTAAGAGGTCACTGTGGGACCGGTCATGGTTTTTTTTTGTCACAGACGTTAGGACATTTTGTTATCCCTTCACTTTCTTTTCTATTTTTTGTTTGTTCGTTTTTGTTGAACTTATTTAAAACAATGAATTAGTATTTTCATTTAATGGCAACATTAAGTCAAGATTAGGTATGGTAGTATTTCGATCATTGGGTTAATTAGTGTTGGTTTAGTTTCATTAATTAAATAATGGTTGGTTTAATTGATTATTTATTACTATTATTGTTATATTATCCTTTTTATTTTTATTTTATTCTTCTTTTTTTAAGAATGGCAATTGTGACGCCTTTCTCACCAGTCTCGAGTTTACAAACATCTTCACAAAAACATAAATACTTAATTTGTCATATGAAAAATGACATAAAAGTAAATGGAAGGAAGATGAATTAGATTAATTTGAAATTAATCAAATGAGATTAGATGGGACGAAATAAAGTTTCAGTAAAATTGTGTTTATTTACATAGACTTTTTGAGTGAAGTTTTTCGAAGAACCAATCTATATCCAGCTCCTTTATTTCAATTTTCTACATTTATACACTTTCGCAGATTCGAATCGGTCAATGAACCACCTTTAGTACATGTTTAAACCTAAAGAAACACTAAATTAACATAACATAACTTCGGTTTTCGTGTTCCCGCCAAAATGTCCATTATTTATTTTGTTAATGCTGTTTAACAAGCACTATGTTGTTTTTATTGTCTATGATGATGGAATATGCAGATCATAGAGCCACGTTGAAGATCCGACTTTACACACATTTCGTAAAACAAACCAATGTAAAGCTCAGAGGTACTTACCAATGCAGCGACAAATAGTCTGCCCTTTTCTGTACTATGTCAATTCATAATTATCTATATACGTGAAGCAACAACTTTGTACCTATTTTTACGAAAATTGCGGCAGACGGAGGATTATGAATATTCCCACACTTATAGAGAATATAGAGAAGTAGTGCAGAATATTACAATTTTTTTTAATTAAGCAAAATAAAATACATTAAATCGATAAAAAAACATTACACACACTACTATGGTTTTGACACAACACACACACATAATTATATAAATTCTCTTCATTTATTGTCAAACTTTTGTTATTGTTTAAAGTCTGTGGTCAAATTTAGAATAGATTAAATGATTTGTTTATAGTGTAGTCTTGGCGAAATCTGTGATTATAAAAGTATAACAATAGTCTGAAGGAGTTCATATAGAGTCCCTTCTTTATTTCGCCT